ACTCCCACTGGTTTCCACAGGATTGGGATCAATGGGTTTTTACTCTTCTGTTAATAACTTTGTGCTCAATAAAAAGCCTTAAAGAAAATTAAAAACCTTGGCTTCCACCATAACAAAACCAGTTGCTGGCAAAGTTGTACTGTACCTCTTCTAAGCCAATACTAATAGGGAAAGTGTTAGTTGCCATGAAAGCTTCAAGTTCTTTTCCATCGTTCCAACTTTATTTCAAAATAAAGTAACAAAAGGGCAGTTTCAATTTTACCTTCTGATTAGATTCCGGTACCAAACAGGAGATATCTTTGTGGCGATCCAGGAATTGTTCAAAGTCTTCATCGCTGATAACAAATTTCTCTGCTTCTCTCAGGGCATCCTCACCACTGTTCTCCCCTTCGATGAGCAGGCACTGGAATACCTGAAGACAAAAGGCACGTGGTTAAGATTTGATGTTTTCATTTGCCTTGAGTATAAAAGACTGTTACCATGACAAAAGCCTTCAGTTGTCTCAGTAGCGATGTCTTTAATTTTTGTCAGTGGAGCCATACTGACACAAATTGTGATAAGTGAATACTATACGAAGGGCATGGTGCAGATTTATTTTTAGCAAATTAACATTACATAGTTCTAAATGTAATTATACAGTCGTGGTTCCTGACCAGGTTTCCACAGAAATCTTAACTGCTCTGGTCTTAATAAGGGCATGGATAATAAAAGCTCAAATTAACTTTTGATTGAACCTCAAATAGTATGGCTGTATTATAAAAGCCAGTAAGTACTATGTACAGTGCAGACTGTCAAGTCAATCTGTGTTTTTGAAGATTTTAACCTGATTTGTGACTGTAAGTTTAACTAGCTTCAGATGGTCACAGAAAAGATAGAGAAGACTCCCCAGAAACAAAATGCAATAGTTTGTCTACTTAACAGCCTCCTTCTAATGGCCAAGTCCTCAACTACATTCAGACTTTGGGGGGAAAAAAGGTGCCTTTGCCATCAACGTGCTCTGTAACCCCAGTAAGAAAGTAGGCCAGGAAGCTTGATAAAATATTAAAATGTATGTCATATTTTCCTTACACTCCTTTAGTAGGACCAACATTATTTTTTTTTCTGGGAAATCATGCGTGTACACCAATTTCCATGAAGCAAACAATGAGAAATTATTCCGTAAGTTCTCCCATATTTATAAGTCATATTATCTGTACCCATTTTCAAACTGATAACATAATGTATTTAATACACTTCTAGTAGAAAATATATGCACACTAACCACTCACACTCTGTAACAGAACATTAATGTCTAATGTACACTTATATATTGCTGATACATTAACTCTAATGTATCATTGTACACTAACTTTTCCTCATTTTCTCGACATCATGACACATTTTCAAATGCTAAAGACCTTCTATCTTACTTTTAATATCGCAAAAAACTTAGATGTATGTACGCTGAAACATGTATCGTAGCGCTGACAAGAAATCTTCCAACGCTAGCCCCGGCTACAGCTGGAGATCTGACTGAGGTTCAGACAACAACTCCAGAACTTCATCATTACTTTTCTCTGAACAGGAAACCTATGGTATACACCACTTTCTTACCTTCCAGCGCACAGGGTTGAGTGCCTTGATCTGCTCATTCATATCTTCCTCAACATTAAATCTGTTGATCACTGAATTTATTTTGAAAGCAACAGCATACTCTCGGCACCACTGTCTCAGTTTATGCAGGTTTTCCACATGGTTCTTCTTTCCTTGACCACGGCCAATTAAAACGTTGACATTCTCATCAAAACTATCACATGAAATTGCCAGAATGTCTAAATATTCACCTGAAAGAAAGTTTTAAAAAATTAATATTCAGTCCTACAGTTAAAAGCTGTCAGGACTCTGCCCACTTTCACTTCCTCATGATCTGTCACAAAGTGCCATGTAAATACAGTTCTGTGAAGTCATCACATCAACCACAAAAGCCACAGCAGCAGCATCATCAAAACATGTGTTTTGTGTGTGCGTCCAGCATTATAGAGACAGTCTGAGCTATTATTTTATTATACTAGTATACCGAAGAGGCGATAGTACAAACTGCCTGTCTTCACAACATATAATTAACAATATTTCACTGGTATTTGCGTTTGGTTTGCATTTACTGTAAATGAACCACTAACCAACCATCTCCCACTTGCACCGAAAATCATCTCTCCGAGAGGCTGCCCCGAGGAGGCTCCCAAACCCTGCCAGTGCTTCCGTGCACAGTGGTTTCTCCTTACCGTACTTCTTGAACCACCGTTCTCTGATCAGGCTGCCGTTGCTAACAATGCTGACACTCGGCAGCTTCAGCTCCTGCTTGCAAAACTGGACCAGTTTGCCTACAAATTCGCCTCTGTCCTGAAGAAACGGTTCTCCTCCCGAGAAATTTATTTTCTCCATTCCTAGAAAAGGACCAAAGAAAGATGCTGCGAACCTCTGCCTGCCTATTGCCCGCTCCTTCCACACCCCGTCAGTGCCGGACCGCAGCGGTATGAAGAGGGGCCCCGGCCGTGTAGTTACAGGGGTAGCTTCTCCGAC